ACTATGTCCAAAGGACAACCAAACTATAGATCAGAATATAGAATATAAAACTGAAATATATTTCTATAATAATATTTAGAATCACCTATTTCTATTTATTTTCCCAGCCTTCTTTCCTCTCACCTTTTTTTTTTTTTAATACTAAGTATCTTCTCGAATAACGGTGGAAGGGAAGGACTAAAATCCTTGCTTCCTTGTTTCCAAGGCCAGAGTTTTCACTCTTGCTTTTGCATAGAGGTCTTATTTTCCAAATAAAATCTCAAGTAGCCAGGGCCTAATATTGTTTTATACTTGCTCATTCCTTTACTGCCCTTAGCACGACTTCCTTGAAACTGATGTTAAGACTATTGTGGAAACTACTTTCTCTAAGTCGTTTTAAGACTGCTTTATATTACTGAGTCCTATGACAGTTCTTAGTAGAAAAATAATCATGATATCCTTACTTGATTTAATCAGTGTTTATTCAGTTCATTGTGACTTAATGGGTATCAGTGATTGTTAGTGAATTAAGCAGATTGGGATGAAGTTTGAGTTAGTTACGTTAGTTAATATTAAGATGAGTTTTAATTAATTAAGCATGGATTGATCATATTAATTGCATCTGATTTATAAGATCATTTCATGCTATACTAGTTAGGCCTGTTCTAAGAATATATATTAACTTGTGTTAAGGACTTGTATTTGCGATATCCCTTCACCCTAGCAATCACTACTGCCACTCCTAAGTGACCTTGGCTTTAAAACTACAAATTGCTTGGTCCCCTAGGATACTTTTGGCCAATCAAAGATGTTTGAGGGTCTGTGGAAAGCCATTGCTGAGATGAGCTGTAGGTGATGACTTATAAAAGGCCTGCTGACAAAAGTAGTTGTGGTTAACTTGAACATTGTCCTTAGACAGTTATGAGAAATCCCCCTTACATACACACACACTTCTGAAGATTAGCCTGTTATTGTATTAGGAGTCTCCACACTTCTGAAGGAACCTCCCAGGGACTTCCCAAGGATCTATAAAATCCCTCAGTCCCTGAGCACTGAGGTCCTTGGACAAGAGGTAGGTCTTCGATCTAATTGCTTAGGGACCCAACTCTGCATCTGTCCCTAATAAATTGATAAGTTATTTATTTTTTTCTCTTTTTTTTATTTTTAATTTTTTCCATATGCTTTTGAGTTGAAAATTTTTCTCCCTTTTCCTCCCCCCCACCCTCCCCAAGACGGCGCACAATCTGATATAGGCTTTACATTTACATACCCATTAAACATATTTTCACATCAGTGAAGTTGTAAGTACAAATTAAAACCAATAGGAGGAACCATCAGAAAGATGAAACAAAACTCAACAGAAGGTAAAAATAAGTGATAGCGATTCGACTTCCATAGTTCTTTCTTTGGATGTGGACAGCATTTTCCATCCCGAGGCCTCTGGAGATGTCCTCGTAATGCTGAGAAGGGTTCAGTTTAACAATCTTAGTCATTGTATAACGTGGCTGTTATTGTGTACAAAGTCCTCTTGGATCTGCTCACTTCACTCAGCATCAGACCATATAAGTCTTTCCAGGTTTTTCTGAAGTCAGCCTGTTCATCATTTCTTATAGCACAAGAGTATGCCATTACATTCATATACCACAACTTGCTCAGCCATTCCCCAATTGATGGGCATCCTCTCAAATTCCAATTCTTTGCCACCACAAAAAGAGCTGCTATGAATATTTTTGTACATGTGGGTCCTTTTCCCATTTGTTTGATCTCTTTGGGATATAGCCCTAGAAGTGCTATTGCTGGATCAAAGGGTATGCACATTTTTGTAGCCCTTTGGGCATAGTTCCAAATTGTTCTCCAAAATGGTTGGATCATTTCACAACTCCACCAACAATGTATTAGTTCCAATTTTCCCACATCCTCTCCAAATTTATCATTTTCCTTTTTGTCATGTTGGCCAATCTGATAGGTGTGATGTGGTACCTCAGAGTTGTTTTGATTTGCATTTCTCTAATCAATAACGATTTAGAGCATTTTTTCATATGACTATAGATGGCTTTAATTTCTTCATCTGAGAACTGTCTGTTCATATCCTTTGACCATTTATCAATTGGGGAATGGCTTGTGTTCTTATAAATTTGTCTTAATTCTCTATATCTTTTAGAAATGAGGCCTTTATCAGAGAGACTGGTTGTAAAAATTCTTTCCCAATTTTCTACCTTCCTTCTAATCTTAGTTGCATTGGCTTTGTTTGTGCAAAAACTTTTCAATTTAATGTAATCAAAATTATCCATTTTGCTTTTCATAATGTTCTCTATCTCCTGTTTGGTCAAATTCTTCTGTTCTCCATAGATCTGATAGGTAAACTATTCCTTGTTCTCCCAGTTTACTTATGGTATCAGCCTTTATATCTAAGTCCTGAACCCATTTTGACTTTATTTTGGTATATGGTGTGAGATTTGGGTCTATGCCTAGTTTCTGCCATACTCTTTTCCAGTTTTCCCAGCAGTTTTTTTCAAAGAGTGGGTTCTTATCCCAGAAGCTGGGGTCTTTGGGTTTATCAAATAATAGATTACTATAGTCATTGACTACTGTGTCTTGCATATTTAACCTATTCCACTGATCCACCTCCCTATTTCTTAGCCAGTACCAAGCAGTTTTGATGATTGCTGCTTTATAATACAATTTAAGATCTGGAATTGCTAGGCCACCTTCCCCTGCATTTCTTTTCATTAGTTCCTTTGATATTCTGGACCTTTTGTTTTTCCAAATGAATCTTATTATTTTTTCTAACTCTATAAAATAATTTTTTGGTAGTTTGATTGGTATGGCACTGAATAAGTAAATTAGCTTAGGTAGGATTGTCATTTTTATTATATTAGCTCAGCCTACCCATGAGCAACTGATGTTTTTCCAATTATTTAGATCTGATTTTATTTGTGTGAAAAGTGTTTTGTAATTGTGTTCATAGAGTTCCTGGTTTGTTTCGGGAGGTAGACTCCTAAATATTTTATAATGTCTACAGTAAGTTTAAATGGGATTTCTCTTTCTATCTCTTGCTGTTGGGCTTTTTGGTAATATATAGAAATGCTGATGATTTATGTGGGTTTATTTTATAGCCTGCAACTTTGCTAAAGTTGTTTATTATTTCAAGTAGTTTTTTACTTGATTCTCTAGGATTCTCTAAGTATATCATCATGTCATCTGCAAAGAGTGATAGCTTTGTTTCTTCTTTGCCTATTCTAATGCCTTCAATTTCTTTTTCTTCTCTTATTGCTAAAGCTAAGGTTTCCAGTACAATATTGAATAACAGTGGTGATAATGGACATCCTTGTTTCACCCCGATCTTATTGGAAATGCTTCTAGCCTGTCCCCATTACACATAATGCTTGCTGAAGGTTTTAGATAGATGCTATTTATTATTTTAAGGAAGACTCCATTTATACCTATGCTTTCTAGTGTTTTTAATAGGAATGGGTGTTGTATTTTATCAAAAGCTTTTTCTGCATCTATTGAGATGATCATGTGGTTTCTGTTTTTTGGTGTTGATACTCAATGATGCTGATAGTTTTCCTAATATTGAACCACCCTGCATTCCTGGTATAAATCCTACCTGGTCATAGTGTATTATTCTTTGTGATAAGTTGCTGCATCTACTTGCTAGTGTTTTGTTTAAAATTTTTGCATCTATATTCATTAGAGAAATTGGTCTATAATTTTCTTTCTCTATTTTGACTCTTCCTGGTTTAGGTATCAACACCATATTTGTATCATAAAAAGAATTTGGTAAGACTCCTTCTTCACCTATTTTCCCAATAGTCTATATAGTATTGGAATTAATTGTTCTTTAAATGTTTGATAGAATTCGCATGTAAATCCATCTGGCCCTGGAGATTTTTTCCTAGGGAGTTCATCAATGGCTTGTTCAATTTCTTTTTCTGAGATGGGGTTATTTAAGTATTTTACTTCCTCTTCGGTTAATCTGGGCAATTTATATTTTTGTAAATATGTATCCATTTCACTAAGATTGTCAAATTTGTTGGCATATAGTTGGGCAAAATAATTCCTAATTATTGTTTTAATTTCTCCTTTCTTGGTGGTAGCTTCACCCTTTTCATTCTTGATACTAGTAATTTGGTTTTCTTCTTTCTTTTTTTTAAATTAACCAAAGGCTTATCTATTTTATTGGTTTTTTCATAAAACCAGCTCTTAGTTTTATTTATTAGTTCAATAGTTTTCTTAATTTCAATTTTCTTACTTTTTCCTTTGGTTTTCAATATTTCTAATTTTGTGTCTAGTTGAGGATTATTAATTTGTTCTTTTTCTAGTTTTTTTAGTTGTGTGCCCAATTCATTAATCTCCTCTTTTTCTATTTTATTTATATAAGCATTTAGAGATATAAAACTTCCCCTAAGAACTGCTTTTGCTGCATCCCATAGGTTTTGGTATGTTGTCTCATTATTGTCATTCTCTTGAATGAAATTATTGATTGTTTCTATGATTTGTTGTTGACCCAATCATTTTTTAGGATTAGATTATTTAGTTTCCAATTATTTTTTAGTCTATCTTTCCATGGCCCTTTATTACATATAATTTTTATTGCATCATGATCTGAAAAGGATGCATTTAATAATAAATTGATAAGTTAAAGAGGAAGGTGAGAACAGCTGGAGTCAGAACTGTTTATCTTCCACTAAACAGACTGAGAATGTTTTCCCAATACCACATACCTAGGCAGATTTCTAAGGATGTTAGATCATTCTATTGCTCTTTCTCTTCCATCAAAGCCATGAACTGCAGGCTTATCAAGATATTCCTGGGAAATCCTGCCATGGGTATCCCCAACCCAAGGGAATGGGGACTAGAGGCTGAATTATGGGGTCCTACTTATAAGGTGGGACAGTTGGATACACGTGAAGAACAAGAGGAGAAGGGGTATTGTTTGTCACCTGGGAAAAGCAGGCAATCAGAACAGCAGCTTAAGGGTATAAGGACAAAGAAGAAAATATCAGATAAAACAAAGATAACTAAAAGGCAAGTCCTTTTATTTTTGGTAGTTGAATACTGGCAGGAAATAACAGGTTTCTGAAAAGCTTAAGCATCCATGATACAGCAAGTGAGGATATAAGATTGTAACATGCAGAGAAAGCCTTTCCTTCATCTCAGAGACAGGGAGATGTTGATTTCTAACCCACATCTCTCTACCACTGTTGTTAGTTGAGCAGAGAACAGTGCCTAAAAGCCAAGGGATCACAGCCCATGGTCATAGAATTCCACCTCCATGACCACAGATTAGTCTCTATGTCTCCAACAGCTGCCATAGGTAGTATTGGGAGCTCATCACGCATGTAGGACTGAAGGATACAAAGGCCACACAGACAGAATCAAAATGGTCCATTGCAGGTTAGGTATTTTTTCCCAAGCCCATTCCCCAGGCACAGAGTTAGGTTAAACCTCATGCTTGCCTTCCACCTCTAGTGGGAATCCCTTTCTTTGTTGGGGTCATTACCTGCTCACCAGCTTTGTCCAGGTAGTGTGCAAGATAATGTGATACAAGAAATTTTTCAAGTTACCTAATAAAAATAATTCTAGTCCTGTTATACAATAATACATGTCATGGTAGATGCATGTCCTACCATTATCTGAATTTTAACTCTCCTCAAAAGTGAAATCCCTACCTGCACATAGACAAAAAGACACTTCAAACTAGGCACCTCCTTCTCTCTGTTTACTCATTAATAAAACAGGGGGAACTATTCTTTCTTTAATATGCCTTGAGATAGTGTAAAGGGGAAAGGGGAAAAGCTATAGTGATCTGCCTTCCCCAGACCTGCACTTCATGGATTTTATGCAGTGACAGAGGTTCTGGTAACCACAAAGAATGGTCTACTATAGAAGTGTTTGTGAAACTGAAAGGAAGAGTTCTTTCTTGATTTTTCCTTCTTTCTCCTCTCCCCCCCAAAATTATTATTTATTTTGTACATATTTTAGAATTTACTAATTTGTGTACTTGCTGCTTTCCCCAGATTACCACTTTTGTCTTCATTGCATTAGCTCCTAGCACATGCCCACACAGTAGAGCCCTTAAAAATTACTTGAATTGAACCAAATGGAATCTGATTGACCAGTCCCTACAGAAATGAGCATAACCAGGAAGGAAGGCACAGCAACAGGTTTTAGCAGCACAGAGGGTAAGGAGTGGCAACCAGAAATAAACACTTCCATTTCTACTCTCATAGGCCAAAGACAGCAGGATCCACAGATGATTTCAGGAGAGCATTGGCAGCTTTGATGCATTCAACCAGGGAGGCATCTGTAAACACAAGAAGATGGATAGCTAGACAAATGCCAGGAAAAGCAGAGAAGCACATTCACTTCACCAGTCTGCATCCTATTCCCTTTCATCCCTCCTTCCTTTATTCATTCTTTTTCCCCTTCTTGTTGTTGTTATATCATTTCAGTAGTGTCTGACACTTTGCGAACCCATTTGAGGTTTTGCTGGCAAAGATATTCCAAAGTATTAGAAATTGCCATTTCTTTCTCCAGATCACTTTACAGATGAGGAACTGAGGCAAACAGAGCTAAGTAAGTGACTTGCTGAGGGTCACACAGCGAGTAAGGCTGGATTTGAACTCAGATCCTCCTGACCCCAGGGCCAGCCCTCTGTCCACTATACCACCTAGCTAACCCTACTCCCATTCTGCCCTCCCCCAACCATTTCTAGCTCTAGCAAACATTCATTAAGCATTTATTATGTTTAACAGAAGGCACTTCCATATCCCCACCAAGAGTTACACTCTGTCTCTTTTCTCATACCTTAAATTCCCCTTTCACTTTTCCTGGACCCACAAACACTTCTGAGGTACAATATTCTTGAAACCAGAGGAGTGAATAGCTGTTAGATCAGTCTCAGCCTAACCCTGAGGGCAGCTGTGGGAGGAGTGATGCTAGCAACCTGGCAGAAGGAATGTGAAGAGAGCCAAGACCACTCTGTTGAGAGTTCTTGATATCCCACCAGCCTTTCCCTTAGGCATTTCTAACCTTCTCGTGTCTCCTCTATGTCCCTCACTACCTATGAGGCCTTCCTCTGAGTTGAAAGACCAAAAAAGTGGAACAGAAAGGAATCAGTCCATCAATCCCTCCATCTCCCACCCTAGTCAAGCTCATGAAGCTGTATCCTGAGGGAATAGCAAGTGTCCTGATGTATATGGAAAAAGGTCCTCAAGGCAGTATCCTTACCAGATCGAGCCTGGATCCATGCCACAGCCTTCCTTTCCAGGAGTTCCCATTCTTCTCTCTCGTCCCAACTGGAGCTGTGCATCCACAGCACAGCCAAGATAGTGGCCCACCTTGGGACATCTTTACTCTAGAGAATATACAGAACCCAAGGCCCCAGGGTCAGGGTACCCCAGAAAGGGGCAGACAAACCACTGCATGGTTCCTAGCCCCTCCAGGACCAGAGAAAGAACTGATCCCAGATTGATTATCTACCTCTTCCAGTTCCCTGCCCTTACTACTCTCCTCAATAAATAGATATTCACTGAGCATGAGGAACATGAGGAACTATCCAGCTTTAAGGGCTAGAAAGTATTTCCATCAACCTTTCTCAGTCACAGACCACACCTAATGGGCAATGGCTCCCATCACTCTGTCCAAAGCTGGATTGCTCTTTCTTGCCCTCTTTCTCTTGCTCTTCCCCTCCTAAACATGCCACCCTATGCCTCCCTCTCTCTGGGACCTTACCTGATCAGGCAATGCAGCCAATGCACTCTGAATGCTCATTCCCAGGACTGAGGCCAGAGCTTCATCCAGTTCCCAGGACCCATCTGCCTTCTGGAGGGAAATCAGCTGCATAAGTGGAGACTCTGATGGGGATGTGTCTGGGGAATAAATAGTAAACTTCAGCATCACTCACACCCCCATGGCAACTGAGGGGAAATGTCATTCTGCAAAGTCCTACTAGACACAAAGCAAAATGCATTGGAAGGGTAAAATGGAGAGGGCACCTAGTAGTAATGCTGGTTTTAAATCCCCTAGGTTTCATGTCTGTGGAGCCTCAGACCCCAACTCCCCCAACAAGTTCCCTAAGGCCTTGTGGAGCCCCAGGGCAATACACCTGGTAGGCCTTTCCCCAGTGCAAGCCAGGATTTCCAGTCCAAAAGAGCAGCAAGGACTGGTCCCTAGTACAGGCCATCAGCTGGTCCAGCCCCCATTCCTGACCACCACTGATGCCCCCCCTCACTAGCCAACCAGCAGCAAGACCTTGCCCACAGTACAAGGCAGTAGGGAGGTCCTCACAATCAATACAAGCCAGCACCTAGGCCCTGAGGCCCAGTGAAAGCCAGTAGCAAGGCCCCAGAGCCTAGGGACAAGAGGCATAGGACAGTGTAGGAGCAGAGCCCAACACTCATATACAAGTATGAAGTCACAAAATGGGCAGAAAAAATGAGCAAAAAAACCCCCAAAACAAAAACAAAAACGAACCTGATTATATAAAGTTACTATGACGACAGGGAGGCTTCAAGGCACAAACTTAGATGAGAGTAACAGTGTCAAAATGATTACATGTGAAGCCTCAAAGAAAAATGCAAATTGATCTCAGCTCAAAGAGAAGTCATGGAAGAGCTTACAGAAGATTTTAATTTATTTCCCACCAATGATAGTGTTTTAAATAGTATTTTACTTTTTTTTTAAAATTGTACATCAAGGTATTTTTAGCATTCATTTTTACAAGATTTAGAATGGATTTTTAAAAGTAAAGTAGATAAGTAGAAGAAAAATTGGGAAAAGAAATAAGTAAGGCAAGAGAATCATGAAAAAATAGTCAACTGAATTGAAAAAGAAGCACAAAAAGTGGAAAAAAAGATAAATAAAAATTCACCAAAGAAAATAATTCCTTAAAAAAACAGAATTGCACAAATTTGAAAAAAAAAGGTACAAAAGCTCACTGAAGAAAATAAGAAAATAATTCCTTAAAAATTAGAATTGAGCATGAGAAAGCAAAATATTCCATGAGACATCAAGATGATAAAACATAATTAAAAGGACAAAAAAATAGAAAATGTGAAATTTGTCATTGGTAGAAAAAAAATTGACCTAGAAATCTGGGAGAAATAATTTAAGAATTATTGCACTGCAAGAACACCATGATCAAAAAAAGTCCTTACACTTTTCACATTTCAAGTGATCATTAAGGAAAACTGCCCTGATATATTGGAACCAGATGACAAAACAGAAATGGCAAGAATCCACCAATCACCACCTGAAAGAGATCCCAAAATGAAAACTCCAAGGATTATCATAGCCAAATTTAAGAGCTCCCAGTTCAAGGAGAAAATACTTCAAGCAGACAAAAAGAAACAATTCAATTATTGTGGAGGCACAGTCAGGATTACACAGGATTTAGCAGCTTCTACATAAAAGAACAAAAAGGCTTGGAATAAGATATTCTGGAAGGCAAAGGAGATAGGATTACAACCAAGAATCACTTACCCAGCAAAACTGAGTATACTCCTTCAGGGGGAAAAATGGTTATTTAATGAAATAGAAGACTTTCAAGCATTCCTAATTAAAAGATCAGAGCTGAATAAAAAAAATGATCCTCAAATACAAAACTCAAGAGAAACATAAAAAGGTAGAACAAAAACAAGAAAGAGAAAACATAAGAGATTCAATGAGGTTAAACTGTTTATTTTCATACACGGCAAGGTGATATTTATAACTCTTAGAACTTTATCACTATAAGGGCAATTAGGAGTATTCACAGACAGAGGATGTGGGTGTGAGATGACTATAATGGAATGATATCCAAAAACACCCCAAAAATTGAGGGGTAAGAAAGAAGATTGTAGTGGGAGAAGAGGCAAGGGAGAGATAGAATGGGGTAAATCATCTTACGTAAAAGAGGTGTGAGCTTTGAGAATGAAGAGGAAGACGGGGGTGGGGGAATGGCAGGCAAAGTTTAATCTTACTTTCATCATTATCAGTTCAAAGAGGGAATAACATACCCAGTTGGAAATAGAAATCAATCTTACCTTATAGGGAAGCAAATAGTGATGAGGATAAGAGAAGAGGGAAGGGGGCTGAGAGAAGGAGTGGGGATTGGAGGAGGCAGTGTTGAGAAGTAAAACACCTGGGAGGAGGGACAGGATAAAAGGGAAGAGAGGAAGAACTATAAACAAGAGCAAAACAAGGTGGAAGGAAATACACAGTTATTCATTAATATTATACATATGAATAGAATGAACTCACGCATAAAATAAAAATAGATAGCAGTACTGATTAAAAGCCAGAATTCTACAATGTGTTGTATACAAGAAATATATCTGAAGCAGAGACATACAGAGTAAAAGTAAGGGGCTGGAGCAGAATCTATTATACTTCAGATGAAGTTAAAAAAAAAAAGCAATAATAGCAATCATGATCTGGGAGAAAGCAAAAGCAAAAATAGAGCTAATTAAGAGAGACAAGGAAGGAAACCAAGGTGTTTGAAGATACCACAGACAATGATGTATTATCAGTACTAAAAAGATATGCACCAAATGGTACAGCATCTGAATTTTTGAAGAAGTTGAATGAGTCACAGAAGGAAACAGAAAGTAAAACTAAACTAGGGAGAATCTCAAGTTAATAAGTTGGCAAGTTCAATGTAGAGAAGGAAGTGAAGAAGCAGAACATGTGGAGCTATGAAATAAGTCTGACAGGCTTCCCATTCTGGGAGCTAAGTCTCTTCAGTAAAGCACATTTGTGGCCTTCAAAAGAACAACGAAGTAGATTCACTGGGAAGATCATTTCTTAAACAGCCAGAGAAAAATAAGGCAAAAATGAATGGTTGAGGATTTCTTGAGTAACACAGACTAACACAGAGAATCACAAAATTTCAGAATTTTAAGGAACCACAGTAGGCCCCTGGTCAAATTCCATATAACCCCATAGGAATCCCCACTACAAAATCCCACCAGCCTTTACTTAAAGACCTCCTGTAAAGGGGTATCTACTACCTTGAGACTGTCCATTATTCTTTTGCGAGCTCTAGTTTATAAGGTGCTTTTTTCTTATATCAAACTTTCATTTGTGATTTTCTGACTTCTAACTATAGCTTCTGGTTTTGTCCTCTAGAACAACTTGTACACATATCATAACAGTAGAAAGCTCTCTTGAGTTCATGAGACATAAAGCTATTCAAGTACATGACAGGAAAACCTCCTGAGATGATCTCACCTGAAAACCACCATCTACTCCTCCTGATCCTGTGGAGGCTAAAGACGTCACCAGAACAAACCCATAATGCAATCCTGGAGATCATGAAGAACTGAGCATGAAACTAAAGACCTGACGACTACAGTTTTTTCTGTTGAAATCACTGCTACATGCTGAATACTGGAGGAAAAAGTAGAGATGGGAAATAAAGAACAGATTGAGATGGAGACCAAGATTGGGATTTCCAGATGATTGCCAGGAAATATGAACAAAAAATTATTTACAATCTCTGACTCTACTTCCTTGATTATCTCACCTCTCAACATCTTTCTTGCTTCCTAATCTTATTACTAAATTGAAGCTATTCTCTCCTAAATTACCAATGGCCTCTTAACTTCCAAATCAGATAGATTTTTCTCAGTCCTAATCCTTCTCAACATATCTGCAGCAATTAACACTGGAGGCATCCTTAGCTTCTTGGATAGTCATTCTTCTCTGTAACTGTCCTTTAAGGGATACAGGAATGAGATGGCTACCATTTTAGCAATTTTTTGACGCTACTCACCATATAGCCAATCCTTCTTAATCTCCCTTCCTGCACCATTACCTATGTAAAGATTCATAACTGATTATACTCAAAGGTTCTTCCTCAGGACTTCTATTTTATCTTTATACTGAGGAGTTGACATAACCAGCTCCCATAGATTTAATTTTGTCCATGCAGATCATGCCCAGATCTATAATCTCACATAATAAAATGCCTATTTGACATTTTAAACTCAGTATCCTGTAGGCACCTCAATGTTAACATGTCCACAAAAGAACTCATTATCTTCCTCCCCAAATCCATAATTTATTCCTGTTAAGGTCATAACCTTTCAGTCAACAGATTTATGATCCTGGACTCAGCCTCAGTTTCTCTTATTCACCCCACACAGCTAGATCAGTTGCCAAATCTGATCATGTCTACTTCCTATAACACTCTCTTACCTTTCTATCCACCTACATGATCATCAACCTAATTCACTGTCCCTGTGATTACTGCATTGCCTCCTTACTAGCCTCTGTGCTTTAAGTGTCTCCCCACTGCAATTCATGCAGCAAACATCTGCAAAAGTGATTTTCCTAAACTGTAGGCCTGACCATGTGATTTCCATCTTAATAAACTGAAGGGACTGCTCATAAACTCACAGTTTACATATTAAGAAGCACTCCACACATGTGTGATAGCAGATCTTATAAAAGGATGGGGCTGTCTAGTGCCAACCTCCATAAACAAGAACCCTCTCCTTTTTCTGGGAGTCATAAAATCTGGTAAAGTTTGGAGCAGAGAAAAGAGGAGAAGAAAGAGCTGATGCTTAGCCACCAGGAAGAGTACATCTTGGTAAGAAATGAAATAAGGGACCAGGGGACAAGGCAGCCAAGCAAGGCCCACAGTGGCAACAGGGAGACAAATCAACTTCCTTCCCTTGCCTAATACTTTTCAGAGGCAAAGCCTCAAAGAAATAATCATTTGGAACAAGAGGTTTGCAGCACACAAAGTGGTAATGACAAAGCAGAGTCCCGAGTCCCCCTCACCTCTAGCCATGGAATCCTCAGCAAACTTGATACTTGAGCTACGTGGGGGTAATGCCATTTTAAAAGACAGCTTTTCTAAATTTGGAAACATGGCAGTCTTCTGTTTTTTGAAGAGGGGGTTGGCACTTCCGTGAAATCCTAAAGGTGGAATAACCAAAATGCAAAATAAAATAAAAAATGGAATCTCATCTCTGGCAAATATCATTGTGGAAGAGTCTGAGTTGCAGAGATAGCTGTCATCCCAGTCCTCAAGCTCACCTGAATCATTACATTCTCCTAAGCTGTTGTATGCTGAAGATGCATCATATGAACATAGAAAGTGACGACGAGGTCCCAAACTACCTGAAACCCAGCAGGACAGGAGTTAAGATCAGAACACCCTCAGTATCCCTGAGTCAGACAGAGAAAAGAAGTTTAATTCTTCAAGGTGTGTGGCCCCAGGCATACTCTCTATCTCTAGCTATAAGATATTTTCTTCAGGAGCTTCTATCTCTGTAGGTGTCAAAGTGGTCCCCTAGTGTGTTCCCAATATCTTCTTGGTAGGTAATACCCATCTACTGAACATTTTGCAGCCATTTACATAACTGTAGCTTAAGGGATACAAGAATAAAAGGCTATAATTTTAGCAAGTATAGCATTCTTACCCTCTAAGATTTCTGCTTCTTAATATTTCTACCCCTCCCCTTTAATTCTTTCTTCTCTATGATTTTCCATCTCCACCAAAAGATGTCCCCCCCTCACCCATTGCAGCAGAAAAAGTACACCAATAAAGCATCTCAAAACAATAGGCAGGACATGCAAAAATCAAAAGGGCAGAAAAAAACAATATGACTTCTTTATCTCTAGAATATGAGTCAAAGGACTGAAATCCACCACTTACGTGCACTTCTTAAATAGGGTTGCAACCATGAGGCACTGAGGTAGGTAGCAGCCAATGGAATATCCCTCCGAGTTAGGGGCCCCTGAATGGGCTGATTGAGCTCCTTGTTGATAGCAATGTAGGCAGTATGAGAGGAGACAACTCCGGACTGAAGGCTAACATCCACCACTTTGTTCTTCACTTCTGCAGCATCCCGTAAGTTCCCATCAAGGGTCTGGATCAAGGACTTGGCAGCCAGGCGGTGAATGGTAAGTCTGGAAAGGGACAATCTTCTGTGCTACCTATGAGCACCTGGGAAGGTGGTCCTAACCCCCAATTCCTAAGGATTCCAAATAACCAGGGAAAGGTAGTGGGGAATAAAAAGAAGACATGTATGGGTCCATAGAAGAGAAGTTAATGAGAAAGAAAGGAAGAGAAGCCTCAAGAACAGTCAGGAGAAAAAAGGAGGGAGGGATCATCAAGGATTCTTACTTGTCATCTCCTTTGGCATTGACGGAGAATGGTACTGTGTTCCTGAAGCCTTCACCTTGGAGTTCGTATTGAAGACATACCTCACCTGCTGCCTCTTTTGACTGGAAGAGGATAAGCAGAGAGGTCAGGCAGTAGGTAGCCCATTAATGGAGTATTGAGGTCTAAATCACAAGCATAAGATCACACCTCTAGAGCTTGCAGTGATCTCAGAGCACATCCAGTCTGACCCCTTCATTTTACATAGCTGGGAAGGGAGGTCTAAAGGAGCTTAGTGACTTGTCCCCAGTCCTATGTCATAAGCATTTGAGGTAAGATTTGAACACAGATCCTTGGACTACAGAATGATTACTCTGTCCTACATACTCCACCAGATCAGAATGGAGTAATGTTCAGGAAAAAGATATTACCAAGGTACAGGTATAGAAGAAGGAAAGGAAATGAGAGCGCTCGTTCCTCCCTTCCACGTGCCATCCTCTGGGTAAGCCCATATACCCACCTAGTGCCAGAAAAGGAAAATCCCAGGACAGAGTTTGGACGTCTGCTACCACAACCATGGGACCCAAAAGTAGGAATGGGGACTTACTGCATTTGTCCCTTTCAACTGGGCATAGACGATTAACCTCTGACCCCTGAAGATGACAGTAGGAGGAGGAGAGAGCAAGGTAGTCTCCAGCCCAGGGGGCAGAGTCCAGGTCAGGGAGACATCCTGTACCACTGGCTGCAGGGCCCGCTTGAGGGACCGGAGGCCTGGGGGAACAGAATGGAGAGCTTGAAGGGGAAGGAAAGCAACTTGATGAGAGAGGATAATTAAGCAGAGACAGATATTTCCTCTTCCTTGGTCATGTGAGAAACCAGGCTTCAACCCCCTTCCAAACTCCTGAATACATCACAGCAATCTGTTTCCAATTCTTTTTGTCCCTGACAGGAAAATTGGGATAGTGGGATATTGACAGTCAACCATGAAGGTAAGTTCAAGTTGTAGAGCCAGAACCTCCAGGGAAGCAAGGAAAGGTCCTGGTCTCTGAGGCCAGCTCCAGTCTTTGTACCTTTCATCCCCTTCATGTTCGTGTCCCTTCAGACTCTGTCTGTCATGACCAGAGACTTTCCCAGGGAACATCCTGGACCCTTTTCAACACACAGTGGGGTCATGCCTGCTCTACACTCAAGAGGTCTCAGATCTACAGCTGCAAAGTCCCAAAGCTCAGAAAGGGAAAGGTCCCACTTCACCCACCCAGGCACATTTCCCAAGCACCTCAACACACAAAATGCTACAGCACAGGACATGGGGACAAGGACATATCTGTGTCAGAAAGCTACTGTGGTGCCTCAGTCTGGAAGAGATGCTTTTGAGAAAAAGAAAACCATGCCACCTTGGGCTGCATTCTGTCCCTGCCCGTGATGAATTCTGCAGTGCCCCCAGCTGCCCGAGCAATGCCTTTAACAAGGCTGGTGGAAGCCCCTTCTCCAATTCCAAAAGAGAAACACCTGGAATGAGAAGACAGCAGGCTGGCCAGAGGAAGTTTTAGGAAAAGGTTCCTGACTCCTACTCTGTGGAGAATTAGAGGACAAAAGCCTTAGGGTGTGGAGGCCTGTTAGGGATCAGAGTCCTTCTTTAGGTACCCAGCCATCTGCAGATGATCACCACAGAATCACAGATGGAGAGCAGGAAGAAACCTCTGAGGCCGTGTGGCCCAAATCCCTCATATTACAGATGAAGACATTGAGGCCCAGACCCATGGTGAGTAAGTATGTGTCAGAGGCTGACTCCTGTAAACCATACCTATAATTCTGGTTATGGCGCTGAACTTCAGCAATGACCCTCCATGTATCACCAACTTTTCCATCTGTGAAGACAAAGAGCTGCAGAGGGAGACAAGCAGCCACAGATCCTGTCAAAGCCACGTCAGGTTCCTCAGCCCAGGGCTCCCCTGACCCAAACTAAAGCAGGTGTCCCAACATAGAGCAGGCTACCTCACAATTCAGGTCTATATTACTGTGGATCTATAAGGACAGACTTCATGAAATTAGATCTGGGATATGGGGCTGTGGTAGGGAGAAGGCAATTCACATTTGTGGAACACCCTACTATATGCCAGACACTGTGCTAAGCACTTAAAACTATCTCCACAACTGTGAGATAAGTGGTTCATTCAGGGCACCCGGGAAGTTATAGTGTTTCCTAAACTGCTGAGTCAGGGTCTTCTGTGAGTGGGACCTTTCACTGCAACCCTGCAAACGTTTTTAGAAGCAGTGGGTGTAATAGAAAGATGAATTTATGTGTCACTAAATACCTGGGTTTAAAGTCATCTCTATCACTAATTCTGTGGCCATGAGCAAGTCACTCAATCCAAAATCTTACTTTGACCAGCTGTAAGGTGGAGATAATAACATCTGTAGAACCAACCTACAATGTTGTTGTAAGAATCAAATTATATATATGATACCATTATCATTTATATAATTTCTCATTTATGTCATTTGCATCATAAATTGCTATATGAATTTTCAATTGTTATTGTATTGTCAATAGTTTTCATTCCTAGTGCAAGGGATCAGACTATTCTTATGGGAGGAGATCCTATTAGACCTCTCAAGTCTGTTCTTAGTATTAACATTAGGCAGCTAGGTGGTCCAGTGGACAGAGCACCAGCCCTGGAGTCAGAAGGACATGAGTTCCAATCCAGCCTCAGACACAGAACACTTACTAGCTGTTTGACTTTGGGAAAGTCACTTGACCCCAACTGCCTCCAAAACACCTGATCACTGCTGCCTTCAGACAGCATTAATGCTAAGGACCCATCAACAAAACAAGACTTGTGTGTCTCTTTCTCCCAGTCCCAGGTCCTCACCTGCCGAGGGTGGTCTGGCCTGCAGGATTTGCTATAAATGTCCTTCAGTGGCTCTAAGATTTCAGTCCCTCCAAGGTTAGCTTCTAGAGCCTTTACTCTCTGCACAGCCAACTCCATGGACTGCTGTGTGTACTCCACACTTTCTCTAAGACACACACACACACACACACATACACACACACACATAAGAGAGTTCCATGAGACACATTTTCCAACAGTGTAAAGAACTTAAGCCTCCTGCCCCTCTCATAAATCCCAGCTCCAAAGACAGGTCTTATACTACCTCTTCACAAATTCTGTAACTATATCATTTGTAATAGCTTCCTTAACACTTCCCCTTTTAACCTCCACCCTCCTCCCCACTTCTGTGACTCTGGCCAGAGACTCACGGGAAGAAGGATTCAAAGGAGGATCCAAACCATAGATATTGAAAAAACAGCCAAGGGGCAAACTCTTCAGCAGCAGGACCAGAGTTTCCTGAGTGAGAAGAGATTTTCAAAAAATAAAGTCGGGGTGGAGCCAAGATGGTAGAGTAAAAGCAGTGACTTTCTTGAGCTGTCCCCCAAACCCCTCTGAATACCTATAAAAAATCACTCTAAAAAAATTCTAAAGCAGCAGAACCCACAAAAAGACAAAGTGAAACAAATTTCCAGCCAAAGACAACCTAGATGGTTGATTGGAAAGGTGTATTGCACCAGGCTGGGAGAAGAATGCAGTTCAGCATGTGTGCCCAGGCAAAGACTAGGCCTTAGTGAACCTGGAACAGGCCTCAGAGGACTGAATCACAGGCAGCTGTGGCAGTTTTCAGACTTCTTAATCCACAAACACTAAAGAGAACTTAGAAGGTCACTAGGAAATGTCCGTGACCACAGTGAAAGAGAAGCTAGGTCCCAGCTCCAGTCCACGTGCTGCCCTGGGGCAGTGGCTGCTTCCTGAGCTCGGCCCACAGACTGATGGGGAATAGAGTGGCTGATCAGAGGGAGACTGCAGGCATCTCTTTGCTGGCACTGAGGCAGGATTCTCTTGCTTTGTCCACGCTTGGATCTGGGTCACAGTTCAGGGTGGTGGTCCTAGGGTGAGGAGTGGTTCTGGCATGGTAGAGCTCCTGGTGGCAGTAAAGAGAGAATCCTCCTCACAGTTCCAAGACAGAAAAGAGTGCTTGTAGTCATTCATAGACCAGAGCAAAGGTCAGGAAAGTAGTAAACACCTTGCCCTTGATCATACCACCTTGGAAGATGTGAAAATTTACAGGTCCCTAGAAATATTTCTGAAAACAGTTGCACAAAATCCCTGATGCTTGGTACAGTACACCCTCCACACTGGAAGTAAACCCCTACCTTAACAAAGGATTTAAAACTCAAATAATTGGCTGTGAACATAGCAAACTGCACAAAAAAAAAGTCAGACTATAGAATCTTTCTTTGGTGACAAAGAAGATCAAAACAAACAACCAGAAGAAGACAACAAAGTCAAAGCACCTACATCCAAAGCCTCCAAGAAAAATATGAATCAGTCCCAGGCCCATGGAAGAGCTCAAAAAGGACTTTGAGAAGTAAGAGAAGTAGAGGAAAAACTGGGAAGAGAAATGAAAGTGATGCAAGAAAATCATGAAAAACTACTAAACAACTTTCTAAAAGTAAAGGAGACCCCAAAAATAGTGAAGAAAATACACCTTAAAAAAAGAGCCTAACCCAAATGGCAAAAGAGGTCCAAAAAGCCAATGAGGAAAAGAATGCCTTAAAAAGCAGAAGTGGCCAAATGGAAAACAAAGTAGAAAAGCTCACTGAAGAAAACAATTCCTTAAAAATCAGAATGGAGCAAATGCAAGGTAATGACTCTATGAGAAATCAAGAAATTATAAAACAAAACCAAAAGAATGAAAAAAAAATAGAAGACAATGTGAAATATCTCATTGGAAAAACAACTGACCTGGAAAATAGATTCAGGAGAGAGAATTTAAAAACTATTGGACTATCTGAAAGCCATGATCAAGAAAAGAGCCTAGACATCATCTTTCAAGAAATTATCCAGTAAAACTGAATATAAGGGAACCAGAGGGTAAAATAGAAAATAGAATCCACAGATCACCTCGTGAAAGACATCCCCAAAGGAAAACTTCTAGGAATACTGCAGTGTAATTCCAGAGTTCCCAGGTCAAGGAGAAAATATTGCAAGCCGCCAGAAAGAAACAATTCAAGTGTTGTGGAAACACAATCAGGATTACACAAGATTTAGCAGCTTCTACATTAAGGGACTGGAGGGTTTGGAATATGATATTTCCAAGTGCAAAGGAGCTAGGATTACAACCAAGAATCACCTACCCAGCAAAACTGAGTATAATCCTTCAGGGGAAAAACTGGATATTCAATGAAATAGAGGACTTTCAAGCATTCTTGATGAAAAGACCAGAGCTGAATAGAAAATTTGATTTTCAAATACAAGACTTAAGAGAAGCATGAAGAGGCAAACAGGAATAAGGGACTTATTAAAGTTGATCTGTTTACATTTGTACATGGAAAGATGATATTTGTAATTCATGTGACTTTTGTCAGTATTAGGGTAGTTGGAAGGGAAAAGAATTATATGCATAAATAGATAGATAGATAGATAGATAGACAGATAGATAGATAGATAGATAGATAGAGGCATAGGGTGAGTTGAAGTTGAATGGGTGATATCTGGAGAATAGAATTACGGGGTGAGAGAGAATTATACTGGGAGAAGGAGAAAGGGAGAGGTAGAATGGGGTAAATTATCTCACATAAAACAGACAAGAAAAGGCTTTTACAGTGGAGGGGAAGTGGGGGGAAGGTGAGAGGGAATGAATGAATTTTATATTCATTGGATTTGACTTAAGGAAGGAATAACATACATATTTATTTGGGTATGGACATCTATCTTACCCTACAGGAAAATAGGGGGGAACAGGATAAGAGAGCAGGGAGATGATAGAGAAGAAGGAAGATTGGGGGAGGGGGTAATCAGAAGCAAACACTTTTGAAGAGGGATAGGGACAAAGGAGAGAATAGAATAAAAGGGGACAGGAATAGGATGGAGAAAATTTGGCACCCAAAGTTTTAAAAACAAATGTTGAAAATTGTTTTCACATGCAACTGGGAAAAATGATATACAGGAAATGGGGTATAGAAATCTACCCTGCCCTATAGGAAAATAGAATGGGAAGGGGATAAGAAAAGGGGGGAGAGATAGAAGAGGAGGGCAGATTAAGTGAAGGTTATTCAGAATGCACGCTGTCTTAGGAAGGTGGGAGGGACAAGATAGGGAGAAAATTTGGAATGCAAAATCTTGTGAAAGCGAATATTGAAAACTAAAAATAAATAAATTGATTAAAAATATAAAATAAAATCTCCCATTTTCGATCTTTCTGATACTTAGGTCTCACTCTGCTCTCCCCTCCATGATGCCAGTCCCAATGAGTTACCTTTAAAGTGGTCACATTCAAATTCACCCCATCATAAGGAAATAGTCATTGCCTTACAAGATTAATTTAAGTTCATAGTTTCATTTTCACTCCTGAAAAAAGATATATGGAAGAGAGGTATAAAAGAGAAAAAATGCTTGTACCTTGGCAGTATCTATGCGCTTCTGGGCCCTTTGTTATTCATTTGGAAGGACATGCTCCCTGAGCGGTCCAGGAGGAAGATAAATTCACCAGTGTTCTCTCCCTGACACTCAGGGATACTAGGGTAGAAACTCACCATCACAGCTGGATCTCCCATCAGAGAACCTACCCAGAAGCAAAAAACAAAAACCAAAAAATATAAAAACCTCACAAAATTTATGTCACAGGTCACCAGAAAGCAAAATGAAGTGGAAAAGGAACTGAGTGAGGAAAGAGGGCTTAATTATTACACAAGCTTTTATTTTTGGTTTGCATTTTTGTCCTAGTTGCAAAAGGACTTAAGACAACTTACAAAATTGCCAATGAAAAACTGTATAGGACAAGAAGCCATCAGGTACAGGCTATACCTCTAATTCCCTTGACATTATGTGAAGTACATGAGAGATACATATTAGACTAAAACAACTGGGCTGGTCACACATCACAAGAGAGATTTCCAAAAGATCTCATCCAGCTAGAACCATGTGCCCAATCTAATCACCTTGAATGGAAGATGGATAAAATGTAAGGTCCTACCAACAAAACCAACTGTGCAAGTACATGGCAGGGATGCCATAGTTACACAATAGCTTCTATAAAAAATCCTGCATTAGGCAGTAGGATCTTTACTATCTCTTCCAGTTCTGAGATTCTAGGTCTGTCACTGTACATTATGATTTTATATTAGGTCAAAGTATCATAGTATAATATTCAACAGTCAGAACAGTAACTTTGTTCTTTTCTTTAAACCTTAGCATTTCTACATTTGGTATAATAATGAAATCCTTCCTTATTCTCTTTAAGTAAGTCAATAAATATCCCTCTTTGGATCCCTGAGATCACCACTGCATACCATAGTGACAACCATCCTGCAACTATTTCAATACCTCTCTGCCAAGCGTCAGCATGCTTGGGAGGTATATCCTCAGCAAGGTGAGCAAGCTCCTGAGATTGGCTCACCTGGTTTGGCATCAGCCTGGGCCAGCTCCACAGAGACACTGGGTGTGTTCACCTCCCTGTAGTAAACCAGAATCTCAACATCCCGATCAAATGATGCCCTTCAGCCAAGGAAACCTGGATGAAGATGAGGCAGAGCACAGTAATGCTAAGACATGAAGGAAATCCTAGGAACTTCTTCTGGATTCCCAGGTGACAACAAGGGGCTGGAAAGTTAACCTCCCATTTGGTGAGTGATGGAGTTCTGGGATGGAGTTGGTATGAAAAGAGAAAAGTCTAGATCTAGAAGGAGGGGGAGAAGATAAAATATGACCATCTTATGGGTGAGTTCAGAACACTGGACAGTACTTGGAAATAAAAAGGAAGGGTTTGAGGTATGGAAGTGGGCAGGGCCACCAAGGCAATGGTGCTTCCTGCCTAGTTAGTTACCTGGGCAACCTTCTTGTCATCTCCAAGTACTGCAGGGGACTCAGAGGACAGTTGGATGGACCTTCTCAATGCCATGGAGAGCAGACATGGCACTGACACTAAACGTGTAGGCAGCTCCTTGCCAGGAACCCGAGGGACTTCAGAGGTGATGTTGTCTGCCTCAGCTGACTCTGCAATGAGCCACACAGTGCTGATCCCAGGAGGAACAAGAGGGCCCTTTTCTCCCCTAGGCCACAGGATCCAGGTAGAACCAGATGCCCCCATTGTTCTTCCATCCACAATCCCCAACCTCTTGCTACTGGAGGAGGCCAGGCTCCTCACCTTGCAGGAGATAGCGTGGATTCAAAATGGCTGGCAGGACAAAGCGAACAGCCCCATCTGCCTCCAGGGATAGCTCCTGAACATAGCTCAGAGTGACAGCAGCCTTCTGGCCAGGGGGCAAATTTCCTATACTGCAGCTGAAGATGTCACCAGAGCTGCTATCCTGCTCCAGAAGGAAGGCTTGCTGGCCTTGGGAGATAGCATCCTCATAATTCTCCTGGGCCTGAGGGGCAAGAGGAAGAGCAGGATGAGGAAATCTTGGGAACAGGAGAAGAGGAAAAAAGGCTTTGGGGAGAGAGGCAAAAGAAGACATAACTGCTTAGGGAGGCAGTCAGAGAGAAAAAGATAGCAGGCTTGAGGGCAGAAGGAACAGCCACTCAGGCTGACTTCTCTCCAAATGCTTTCAGTCAAGAAACAGAGAATTAGAGTCAGAAAGCCCCTTGATGACTACCTAGCTCATTCCCCTCGTTTTACAGAAGAGAATACCAAGGGCAAAACAGCACCTCAAGTGAGGACAAAAGCAACTCAGTGTTTCCAGCTGAGACTACAATAAAACATATTGGTTCAACATGGAGAAAGCAAAGGGGAGCCCTGGCCTGCCATCCCCACTACCTGCTGCTTCTCTTGTATTTCTGCCACTATACTCTTCCCATCCACCACAGCCTGGAAGCTATAAACAGCAGAGTCTTCATCCATGGGGAACACAAAGAATGCTTCCACAGGAGCTGCTTCCTCATTCTTGTAGTCCAGGCTTGCAGACACATCTGCCACAAACTCACGGATAGACACAGCCACCGAGATGCTCTTAAGAGGCACTGGAGGAAGGAAATGCACTTCAGTCCTCAATTCTCACCCCCAAAGACTCCACAGAAGGGCTGCACACTTCTGGAGTTCTCTCTCCTTTTTCTCATCTTTGCTTGTACTCCTGGTGGACTTACCTGGCTGCTTGCAGCGGGTGAGAAGACCACAAGCGTGTTCCATGGTGAAACTCTGTTTAAAAAAAAGTAAAGTGAAATCTGAAGTAATCCATAGATGCTGTTCCAACCCCACTGTCAACCACTTTTTATTGGAACCAGAATTTTCTACCAGAAACAACCCATCAGTTAGAAGGCAGGCAAAGGTGGCAGGAAAGAGGGAAAGAAGAGGTCAAAGACAATAGACACATCTCCATTCAATCTGACAGCCCAAGGGTCAAGTTCCCCTAACCTCAGGTCAGTGACTCACTTAGGCACAGTGAGTCTTACTTACTAATAGAAGTATACTAGCTGCTACACATAAGAGACCCACAAAGCCTGGAAGATAAGTAGGGGCTTCAGCCTTAGAACTGGTAAATGAAGGGGGAAAATGGTGATTGATGACATAAGTGGGCAGTCCCACTTTATTCAGGGAGGAACTATTAAGTCAACAAAAGGGTTTGTTTCTATTGCTAAGAGGCTGAGGTTGTTTTCAAGCAGAGCTTGTTAGTGCCAAACTATCCTGTTTTGTTTCTGGTTTTGTTTTTTAGGCAATTGGGGTTAAGTGACTTGCCCAGAATCACACAGCTAGTAAGAGTCAAGTGTTTGGTCTGCAGCTGGATTTGAAGTCAGGTCCTGCTGACTTCAGGGCCAGTGCTCTATCCACTGCACCACGTAGCTGCCCCTGTTGCTCAACTATCCTGAGTATTACCAAGCTGTGACTAAACACTAAAGGAAACCACAGATTCTCCTTTTCGGTTTTTTTTTAATCTTCCCGAGATTTCCTTACCAGTTTCAGTTCAATCCATGTTTCAGCATTCTTAAATGTTATTCTTAGAGGACAAAGGCATACTTTTGAATGCGTTCTTCATTACCTGACCTTGCTTTCACCTTCTTTGAACTATTAAAAAAAATCTAAGTTGGTTGAAAAGTTCTCCATGCACTCATAGGGAGTTTTCTTTAGGCAATTCCCCCTTGTCTACCTGATGGGAATCATTGACAAATTTCCTTTTCAGGGCAGTCTTGAACTGAAGTCTTCAACAATGGTTGGTTGAATGAAAGACAAAGCATTTATTTAGCATTTAGTGTGTGCAAAACACTGTGATACAAGTTTAGAAAACAAGATAGTTCCTGCTTTTAAGGATCTCACAGTCTCAAAGGAATCTCCAATAGATTTGAGAGGTTTCCTACTGCTTTGGAAAACCTGCAGAAATCTGGGCCATGAAATTCAACCTTTTCTGTCTCTGTCCCCCTTGAAGTCTGCTCTTAAAATCTAGAGCATGTGTCAAACTCTGCCTGGCTCTCCACTTCTCCATCACAAATTCTAAGCTACAGTGATCACTTCCCCACCAAAGTTTCTGTCCCCTCCACCTACCAACCATTTCTTCCTTATTGGTGAGTCAGATTCAAAATAGACTTTCCCTGGTTGGTTTTTCCACTTTTTGATGGATGAAACTACCATTAAAGAAAGTCAAAAAATTATTAGCTATTCAGGTTGGGGTAGGGGAGGGAAAAGAAAAGCGTTCTAGCAAATGTTTAGAGAATTGAAATGTCTGAGTCAAATTTGTGATATGTCTGAGTCTCTTCATTGATGTCTTCTTTCAGATGGTCTGCACTATACTTTGATGATAATATCTATCCCATCTTTTTCTGCTACCACAGATCTTTATCCAACTCTTCTACCCATCTTGCTTTATACCTCCAGTTCTTGGATTTCCTCATCAGATTATCTTCTGACAGAAAATTGTTAATATGTCAGGAAATTATTAACACCAAATGTTTCTTCCACTCCCTTAATGATCCCAGTAATGTCAGAATTTCAGTAATTTTTTATATTCCTATTTTTAAGATATTTACTTATGATTAGGTTGGACTAAAATGCACCCTACATCCCCACCCATCCAGTGATTTTGCCATGTAAAGGAACCTAGGTTAAGCTAGAGTTCATCTTCCGATGTCCTTGTCCCTTTCCATTGGGATTCGTGGTATGAATGGCAAAACTGCCAGAATGAAGTAGGTTCCCTTGCCAAAGGCCACTGAGTTGTCATGACCAGGCCTCGTTACCTCATACTACCTCCTCCCCCTCTTCTCAGAGTAAAAGAACTGAGGAAGTGCGCCTAAGATTAATATGACTGGTTTCTATGAGTTACCTTACCAGACAGACAAACTGGACACAGAATAAGCCTGTTTGCTGAACTAATCAGGAGTCTGCAGGGAGACAAAGTCACTCCCAGACATTTTTGCTGGTATTTGCCGGCTGACTTTGCTGAGCTGTGCCCCCACCCCCAAACTGGCTCAAACTAACCTTGTGTTCAACTCCTCTGGCAAAACATCTTGCTTCCTGGGAAAAACATCTTGTTCCTGGGAAAGATTTTTCCATTCTTTTTCCCAACCCCTCCTGAACCTTACCTTTGTGGTTTTCAAGCATAAATTTCCTCTACCTCTCTTGGGCTGTGGGCTCCTTCGTACTAGGGGCTTGGGCACTGCTATCTGATTTTCCTCCTAATAAAACTTTTCTGCTTTCAACTCAGCTCGAACTCTTCTGCATTTTGAGGGGTGGGCTTCACCTGGTTGACAAAACCTGTCCCTGTGATTCAGCTGCTGGGACATCCCCCAGGGTGGCAAATTTGCTACCATGGTATCTCAAATAAAGATGCTTTATTCTTAAAATTGTGGCTTTGATTTAAGAACTTGACACTTCTCAATACACAGTACTATTGGGTATAGTCAGGGTTGTCATGCTCAATGAAGTCTTCTCCCAGTCTTGTCTCCACCATGAGCCACAGGTCAGTCACTGACCAGTATCATTCCCCAGAGTCTCTCTGGGGAAGACAAGGAGACTTCCCACTGGCACCCTAATATCTTATGGAAAGAAATAGTGCTGCCCTTGCTTATTAAAAAAAAATTCTGACAAGATTTCTTACCAGACACAACTCTGAACACTCAGTCAACACCAAAAGGTCAAAACAATCCAAAAATGTCATTACTAACTTTGGCTAAATTTCCCAAGGAAACCAAAGGAGTGAAAATTCATGGGAAGTGTCCTTACCCCTCTGAAGACCTGTGGCACAATTCCTTGGCCCTGCATGCTCAGTCCTAACTTCTATTTTTAAAATATTTTATTATTTAACAACAGTTTTTATTTAGGATTTTAATAAATATCTAGTTATTTGTATGTTTTCTTTTTCCATAGAATATGAGCTCCTTGAGAGCAGAAGTTGTTTTTACTTTTCCTTGTAACTTCGCATTTAGCACAGTGCCTGGCACAATTTTTGCTGTTCAGGTTCAACGGTGTCAGACTCTTCCTGACCCCATTTTTGGTTTTCTTGGCAAAGATACTGGAGTGCTTTGACATTTCCTTCTCCAACTCATTTTTAGAGAGGAAGAACTGAGGGCAAACAGGATTAAGGGACTTCTCCAGGATCACACAGCTAATAAGTGTCTGAGGGTGGGTTTAAATTCACTGAGGAGGAGTCTTCCTGACTCCAAGCTTGGCCCTCTATTCACTGTACCACCTAGCTGTCTTGGCACTTGTTTAATATAAATATTTGTCAATTATCACCTTAGAGCAGTAAACCTAGGCTTCCCCGGAGAACTCAGCCAATGTTTGAGTCCACATTTACTCCACATGACATCTCCAAGTCAGCTCCAATCATCCAGCCTCAAGTTTCAGCAAAAATGTGATCAGAAACAATCAGGCAAATCCTAGCTAAGGCTGGTAGGGCCTACAAAATGTAATCAGAACAGGCAGAAAGTCCTGGATAATGGAAGCTGCCATATTAGCAGATCCAGCTGGAACAAGAACTCTGCCCCTGTGGCAGCACTTAGGTAAAGAATAGGAAGGGACTGAACAGTGAGTAGATCATCCAAAATGGGAGAAACATACAAGGCCTGGGCAAGAAAGCCAAAGTTCTCATATTGACAGCAAGTTAGAGCTGGAAGGTTCAATAAGAAGTACTTGCTTCTCATTAATAGAGGAAACTGAGGCCCAGAGATGGCAAGTGATTTGTCCAAGATTCAGAAACAGAATTCAAATTCAGGTTTTCTGAATCTTGGTTCCAAGTGCAGAGTTCTTTCCAGTGTACACCCTTCCTCTCAAGCTTAGGAGGAAAGTAATAGCCTGGTGGGGGGAGAAAGCTGGTTTTCAAACACAGTGAACAGCTGACTAGTCTAAGCCCTCAAACCAAAGCTCAGATTTAGAGACTTTCTCCTTCCTTCTCAGTGCCACACCTTCCGTACTTAGCTTAAGGAATCATTGCTGGCCTTAAGGGGAGACTCCTGGCCTTGGCGCCAGGAGTAATCCCAGACTCTGGGGGACCTGGCATGCAGGACCTAGAAGGGCCAGATACGATTTAAATGACTCCTGCGGGCGAGCCTCCAGAAAGACCAGACTTCAAGAGCCGCAAGAAACTCTGAGCAGGAGGAATGAAGCTGCACCCCTTCTGTCCCAGCGCTGATGGGGGTATCGAGGGCATGGGATACATGGCAGTGAGCCATCAGGAAGAGAACGAAATATGAGGCCCCATACCCAGTCTGCTGGGGGTCTCCCTGACAGCCCTAGAGCCTGAACTAGAACAGTGGGACTTGCTTGAAGGGTTCGGTGGGGAGCGTGGATGAGCGTGAGAGAGCTGGAGGGAAACCCAAGCACACCATCAGCAAAGGCGCTATATCCAGGGAGAGGTGGGAAAATCCCAGGTTCTGGGAAGGGGGAGTCCATTACCTACCTGCTTAGTACTTTCCCCTTGCTAGTTGCTCTGCAAAGTGAAAGAAGCATCAGTTTAGGCTTCCTAGAAAGCCCCGCCCTCCCCAGGCACTGAATACAAACTATGTAATTGAAATTCAAGGGATTGTCTACAAATTCATTACTCTACATTCAAAATTCACCAAATGGCTCTTAAGGGTTCACCAAAAACCCTTAAATCAGGGATTCTCAAAGTGTGGTCTACCCACCCCTGGGGTTCTCTAAATTCTACTGCGGTGTCTTCAGGTTTGCTATTTTCATAATACTAAGAGGTTATTTTCCCATTAAAATACTCCTCCTATTTTGGTGTAGATGCTAGGTGTGTTGGGACCCAGAAATCACCACATGCAGGTCCTGTCAGAATGAATTCAACCCAAGTGTTCTTTCAGCCAAAGACAAGGTTTACTACAGATGAACCATACTAGCTAGACTCTTAAGGAACGGGAACATTAATGATGCTCTTAAGGACGAGCTGGCATGAGGAAATCTCAGTGTTTAACTGGGGGCCTGGATGGATCATATACAGCCAAGTAATTTGGAGTGACCAGAGGAGGGGCTGGGAAGAGGATCCTGAAGCTGGGGTGACTGGGGGGAAGAGTTGAGGGATAATCCCAATGGGTGTGCCAGGGAAGTTGAATGGGATCGTCTTGGAACACACAATGGTGGGATAGGCTTTATTAAGGTAACAAAGAACCAGAAGATAGAGAAGGAACAGGTTGAATGGGGTCTGAATAAGATCAAGGTTGGGAGATTTACTAAGCTTCATTAGGGTATCAAGACCAGTTGATAGGAACAAGAATAAGAGATAAGAAAATGCCAGTTGAGTGGATAATAGTCTCAGGCAATAGCTTGTGACTTCCTTGACAATTCAAAGAAAGTTTAAGGGTTTTCTGGGGCCTATAGACAAATGGGACCCAAATTCTTTTTGGGGTGAGGGCCAAAGATTTTGGCTTGGGCCCATACCCCATCACTCCCTTGTCCAACTACTGTAGTTGGGTGACAGCAGGTTTTTTTGATAAACTTCAACCAAAACGAATTATAATAGATTGAATGTAAAAGCTGATAAGGAGAATCCAGATATCCTCGATTAAGCCACATGTTAGAGATGGGGGAGGAGCAAAACAATGCCACTTTCTCATTGTTTTTATTCTGGAAAAGTTATTTCCATAAAATGATGTAATTTGTTAAATTTAGTGTGCTTGCTATTGTTTTTTTCTTGTGGAATTAATATATTTTTAAAAATTTTATAAACTTCAAGTCCTGACTAAAATTGCACCTTCTACAGGAAGCCTTGGCAAACCCCACTTCAGAGGACAGTGCTTGCCCTCTTTTAATTATTTCCTATTCATCCAGTATACAGCTAGCTTCATGCCTATTTATTTGCTAGTTGTTTTCTTCTATTACATTGTAAGCTCCTTGAAAACAGGGACTATCTTGTGCCCTTTTTTTTTTGTCCCAGAAGGGCTTAGCACAATGCTTTGCACCTAAGTAGGAATTTAATAAATGTGAATTGATTGAACAATGAATTTCTAATTGTCCATTAATGTTTATTAAGCACCTAGTATATGGTGACTTCTTATGAGATGAGGATGCAAAGAAGAAAAAGAAATACAGTTCTTGTTCTCAAGGAGTTTTCCATCTAATAAGGGGGAGGGAGCATTAAAAAAATAGGAAGCTGAAAAGGAAGGAAGGAAGGAGAAGGGAGAGGAGAAAGTATGGTGGCTAGATGGGGAAGTCCATCATGGGCAAATTAAGAGTTGATTGGACAGGTACCCTCTTTAAAAGGAGGTTTGGGGAGGAAGCCTTTGCTCCCCAAACAGAGGGGCTTATTCTCTCTTTCAGAATGATGAGATTCTTGATCATGAAGTTCCTGGGATTGTGATGGGGAAGTCCAAAGGAATGAGCAAATATTGATAGTTATTACCTACAGAAACAATTATCTTGGCGGTCTTCAGTCTTTTTTTTTTAAGTGTAAAGGAGGGCTGAGACCCTGAAGTTTGAAAACTAATGTCGTAGGCCAACCTTGGACCGAGGAGGAAGATGAACAGCAAAGCAGCAAATTAGAGAGTTGGGCTGGAGAACAAAATTGGTAAAGGTGATAGCCCTGATTTGTTTGTCATTACTTAAATTCCTCTTGGTCACCTATTTTGACCCCTCCCCCTGTGATTTACATTCTCTGGTCTCTTGGGGGATGAAGGGAGAGAAGGGAAGACCAGGCAAGGAGCTTGGCTCCTTAGAATGGGGAGAATTTTCATTATCAGCAAAGTCTAAATTGCACAACATAGAGTTTATCCCATGACTCTAGAATATATTTAGAATCACATGGCCTTTTTCTTCATACCCTCTCATAGAGTGTTACAGGTCTCATGAGGAACAATATTTCTGGTCTGGTGTTTCCTTGATATGGGGAAAGCTCAGGCATTAGCAGAAACTGCTTATGCTGCTTTCAATACAGGCAGTTTACATCAGGCAGGCAGTCAATAAACATTTGTTATGATCCTACTATGTGCCAGATACTAGGCAAAGTGCTGCCTTACAGGGTTAATGAGTAGCAGCAGTTTTCTACTTAGGATCAGGATCAGGACCCTTCCATTTTCACAGATGTTTGTCTTGATTACTGTACTATTGTTTTCTCATTTCCAAATCCCCACCATGGTTTAAAATCTAATTAGTTGGTCCCTCTACTCAGTGGGCTTCCTATGGCTAGGAGCATATGAGTAGACGGGAACCCAGAGGTAGACCAAAACCATGAAAACCTTTGGCAGTATGGAAAACACTGTAGCTCCTCCTGCTTGGTCGGAATTTGCTGCTGTGGATGGGGAATGAACATCAACATTCCTGAATGAGGATGAGAAAAAAAGGAATATTTGGAGTCCCTGGCTAGGGCCTAGGCCTTGCCCTGTGCAACCTAAATGCCTTTGAGGACTGAGTTGAAGGGGTACCTCTATCCTTGAAGAAAAAGATTATTTTTTAGCCTGGTCAGTCATACTTTTTAGCCAACTAAGTGGCCTGAAATTCCTTAATCCATTTGGTCCTGATTTCTTAGGCTCATTAGGGAAGAAGAAATTGTGTTCAGATGACCTAGGAGAGGAGAGAGTGCACCTTGGGGATCACCCCAAGGCCATTAATGAGATGCCAAAGACAAGAGAGGAACACAGGAGGGACTGTGAGCTGCTATGGAAGCTCATCCTCTTGGATCCTGGGCTTTCAATAGCTTGATCCTGCTGGCCAAACCTCTTAAAGTGATAGACTACAAGTGCTTTGCTCTGCTTTCTCCAGTCAGTTCCTACTTTCTCATTGCCAGTGCAGACACAATTACTTCTTTCCAGGAATAATCTCTTTAAAAATCTTCCTGCCACCAGTTACTCCCATACCACACTACCCTCATCCTACACAGATTAATCTTTCTGAAGTATTTTGTTGCTGTAGTTGTTGATAAGTCCTGCCCACCTCTTCCTATCTCTATTTGTGGTTTTCTTGGCAGTATGGGAGTGGTTTGCCATTTCCTTCTCCAGCTTATTTCACAGGTGAGGAAATGATACAATGAGGTTAAGTGACTTGCCCAGGGTCACACAGGTAGCGAGTGTCTGAGGCTGGATTTGAACTCAGGAAGATTAATATTTATGTCTTACTAGATTTAATAAGACCTTCCTACAAATTTATCCTGAAAGGCTAGTGGATATAATTCCTTCTAACCCTCTATAACTTTATCTATTGGTTTGCAAATCAAGCTACAAAATTTTCATTTTCAATCTTTCTAATTAAAATAAATCAAACTTCCTCACACCCTCTCAACATGCTTATACCATCAGAAGCTGGCACAAGGGCATCCAGCCTAGGACTGGGGCTGAGAGCCCTTAGAGCACATGGACTTGCTTTTGCCCAGCCCATCCCCTCTCTCTCCAAACATTTTTTTTAGCTCTTCCTTTCATATTTTAAGTCATATTTTAGCTGATGAAACAACTGAGGGTGGTCTTTCTTAATGGGAGAGGGAAGGTTTGTTTTCATAGCCTACTGGTGTCTTTTGACAGAATCAAAAATTATGAGATTAACCAAAAACCTCTTTACTGAACCACCTCCAGATTTGGACTATCTAGACAAAAGTCTCCACCCAAGCCTTAGCAGAACACAATGGGCTTCTCTACCTTAGATTAAATTATTAGTTTTATTGACAGTTCTTAGTGTAAAGATAATTTTGATATTGATAACTTGATTTAGTCAGTATTTGCTCAGTTCATTGTGAATTAATGGGTATGAGTTATAGTTAATGAACTGAGCAGAATGGGATGAAGTTTAAGTTAGTTATGTTAGTTAATGGTAGTAAGCTGAGTTTGCTTAATTAATCAGGTATTGATCATAGTAATTGCATTTAATTCATAAGATCATCCATGCTGTATTAGCCAGGCCTCTTTTCAGAACATGTATTAACTTGTGTTGAGAACTGTATTTGCAATATTCCCTCACCCCTAGAAATAAGTACTGCCACTCCTAAGTGACCTTGGCTTTGAAACCACAACTTGCTTGATCCCCGGGTTACTGCTGGCAAATCACAGATGTTTGATAGACTGTGGGAAAGCCCCAGCTGAGATGTGCTGTAGCTGATGACCTGTGAAAAGCCTGTTCACATAAGTGGTTGTGATTGACTTGGACATGGTCCTTAGCTAGTTATGAGAAATCCCCACTACATATAAGCACACTTCTGAAGATTGGCCTGTTATTATATTAGGAATCTCCAAACTTCTGAAGAAACCTCCCAGGGACTCCCCAAAGATCTATAAATCCTTCAGTCCCTGAGCATCAAGGTCCTTGGCCTGGAGGAAGTTCTTGGATCTAATTGTTTAGAACCCTCTGGTGTCTCTAAAAAAATTGATAAATAAGAAAGGTGAGAACAGCTGTAGTCAAGATTGTGTATCTTTCACTAAATAGATTGAGAATGCTTACCCAATACCAGATAACTAGGCAGATTTTTAACAACGTTAGATCCTTCTATTGCTCTATCTCCTCCACCAATGCCATGAATTGCAAGCTTATCAAGACATTCCTGGGAA